GTTCTGGTATACAGGTGGGAGCGGAGCAGCCCATGAGGGAGGGGGAGGAGGTGGGAATGGTGGCCCTGGCAAACAAGCTGTGATTGCTGTGGCAGTGAGGGAGTGCTTCACAACAACTGAGGAGTGTTGTCTTTGAGGCACAGAAGGTGTTCAAGCTTGTGATAACGACGCTGTATACGCTAAGTTCTTGCTTTACCTTTAAAAAAAAAAGGAAAAAAAGAAAAGAAAGAAAGAAAGAAAGAAAGAAAAGAAAAGAAAAGAAAAGAAAAGTTATTGCTTTACAGACCTCTCTTACGAGGTGTAAGTTCCTTGCATTTAACGTTCTTCCCTTGAACATAAGGCTCCCTGATAATGAATGCACACAAGCTATATTTCTGGTAAGATACAGGCAAAACGAGGGTGCATTGTGTTCGGGGGAAGACGGTAGTCGGAGAGAACTTGGCGTGCCCGCGGGAGGAATTTGGAGAAAGCAGGAGCATCGGAATGCACCTGGACTCCTGGAGATGTTTGGGGCAACTTTTAGTATTTGAGGCATCTTTCAGTCTAGATATGGACGGCTGCTGTGGTAGTGATGTATATAGCCGCAGCCCGGGAGATGAGCTGCTGCAGCTATATCGCTACCACCGGAGAGTGTACTGTCTTCACCCGAAATAGACCGCTGGGTCATTATAGTTGTGCATTTTGGGCAACTTTCAGTCTAGATACACAGCGATAATGACCAGATGATGTACTATTTGGGTGAAGAGGGTAAGAGTGATTAATGGGAGGTGGGGGTGGGCTGGGAAGAAGATGCTTTTTGGGGTTTAGGGATGCAAAGGGGCCCGTGCCGTGAGCTGCAAAGGTGCTTGGGACTTGGGCTGTTCGCAGCCCGTCAGGGTTGCGTTTTCCCCCCCTGAGACATTTCAACGTCAATCAAATTTCAACGTCGGTGGTCGTCGGGAGGGTGGGCATTTTAGGATTTGGGGCCTTGCAAGGCCCAGGAACTGTCTCTTATACACATCTAGATGTGTATAAGAGACAGCCCTAGACCCAGTCATCAACTGAGGTCAGGAGGGTGGATGGCGAAATATCCCTGTTCTCGCCACTTCCTGTCAGGCACACAGACAAGCTCAGGGTGCGTGATCAATCGCAAACTGATGCCCTGCAAT